ATGACTCGACAATCGGTCACTGAAAAAGGTACAAGCAGTATAAGCTCTGAATGCCACCAAATCATGGGCTGCTGGCTCCTGGGTAGTCTGACTCCCAGCCTCTGCCCGGGATTCAATCTTTTCTTGGTATTTGACCTCTGGCTTTTTCATTTTCCCTAGATCTCCATTCAACTTGAACATGAATTTCACTGGCACTTTGCCCCACCTGGTTCTACAGCCCAACTTTTCATCTTTCAGTAAAATAACCCTAACCTCCACCTTGCTCTTGACCTCTGCTCTCCGTTTTATGTTTCAGTACACTCAGATATCACCTACCTCAGTGTCTTTTACTCCCTCTAGCCAGTATAGCGGTGCAGCTAAAAATGCTATTTTAATATTCCAGTTAAAAATGGTGGTAAAAATATTATCCATTTCTTCAAATTAACTGCCACTCTGAGCCTTAGAGTTTTTTCTAAGAAGTACTTTCTCAACCCTCTCAACCTTGCAGTCTTTACTCTACAGACCTTTCTGAACCAATTATTATACCCTGGTCTTTTGGTTTTATTGTTATTTGTATATATTTCTTATTTCCCTAAAACCAGGCAAAGAACACATCTTGCTTAATTTGCATCCTCCATATCCTGAAAAGATATACACATTATATATATATATGTATGTTTGTTATATACAAATTACTGAGTTAACTGAGTGTTTAGCTTCTGCTTTCCCAGGCTCCTATTCCCAAATCGGTCTACCCAATGGTCAAAAAAAATTAAAATGACAGAGAGAGAGAGAGAGATTGACTTAGAGAGATTGACTTAGCTAAATAAGAAATAAACCTGAAACATCCTGTCAAATAAAACAAGAAATTCTCTATATATACGTGTTGCAGTTTTTATGACTACATCCAGTGAGTTACACTGCGCACAGTAATCTTTAGAAAACAATGAGTTAAAAACAGTCACAGGGTTTCCCTGTCACAGAAGCAGAGATCTCAGTTCATGTACCTCCAAAAAGAAGAGTGGAACACTCTACCACAGTCTTTCCTCACAGAAACTGCTAGGACTCTTCCTCTAAGTTACTTATTCAGGAAATATTTGAATAAATTCTACCTGCTTTCTCATACTTGCATCTACACAGCTCTGAAAAGCTTGAGTTTATTAATTACAATTGGGAAAATGTGGAGGAGGGAACATTTTTAAATTCCTGAAATTCAGTGAAAATTTAAATAATTTACTGGTTTATTTGACTAAGTTTATATTTTTTCATATTAGTTTTCATATTAGTTAAATTTTCATATTAGTTAAAATAAATTTATTATTAGTTAAAATAAGTTAGTTTAATAAATTTGTTTTACTAATTTTATGTATTTCATTAGATTTTTACTGGTTTACTTTATTATATTTAAAAGATGGAGAAACAGAGATTTCTCATCCACTGATTCACTCCTTAAATGGCCCAATGGCTGGAACTGAGCCAGGTGGAAGCCAGGAGTCTAGAATTTAGTACAGTGGGTTACAGGACTCAATCAACTAAGCCATTACCTGCTGCTTCCCAGGGTACTCAACAGCAGGATGGAAATGGGAGTACAGTTGGGACTCAAATCCAGGCACTCTGATGTGCAATGTGGGCAACTCAAGTGGAGTCTTAACCATTTTGCCAAACGCCTGCCCTCCTTTGAGCTATTTTAAAAACATATAATATTAGGCTGATTAATATGCTTTGATCTGTTCGAAACACTGGCAATAGATTCAACATGCTTTCAAATTTCATGCAATTTTTAAACCAATACTCTTACTCCTTATTATGCCATTCAAAAATTTATTTTTTCATCTTCTGTGCTTAACTGGAAACTTATTTGATATTATATAGTTACTTTTTAATCAAATCTTAGGAAGTTTTCACATTCTGTGCTTTGACTCAGAACTGGCATTTTTATCTCAAAAGCAGAGAATCAACCATGTGCAGTAAGTTCAGTTCATGAATCTTACTATTTTATTTAACATCACTCATGAGGGAGAGCAGTTTCAAGCACTAATTGTAAAACAGTAAACTGGCATGTGGGGTTTTTTTAAACTTTGTTTTGATAAATCATGTATATGGCTATAAGGATGAAACATCCTTATATAAAACACTGAAGAGTTCACATCTCTGTTAATAAATGTTAGAGCAGTGGCACTTGTATAGAGTTGAGTTCAGCAGTTTGTGGGATAAAGTCCCTAGAAAACTAAAAAGAAAAATATAATAACTAATGCTAAGTTTTGCCCTGATCTATTCGACATAATCCTCCTATGCTAGGCAATGTTCTATTCAGGAAATTGCATTAAATAAAAGCCACAGAGCTGGTCGTCCTCAATGGCGCTTACAAGAAATCAATGAAAAATCTGGCACGTGAGCCCTGCTGATGAAAATTAAGGGCGTGATGGGCATCAGAGGAGAGGGACAGCTGCCACATTAAATCTAGTGGCCAGAGCCTATGCAAAGGGGACACTACAGTAACACTAGAGAAAGGGGAGATTCAAGTCAGGCTGCTTTCTATAGGAAGAGCATTTCAGACACAAAGTCAGTCTAGGGGCTCCCAAGGAGGAAACCTGCTTTTTATTACTCCACATTTAATAGAATAATAGAAAGTGGCTTCTTTAGTTTGTGATCTATTGGGTTATACTTTTCTATTTAGAACCCAGGAGAGCTGGAGTACACTGGCTATAACAGGAGATTTTAGCCAACCATCTAACCTGGTCTATGCCTTTATGACCCATCGCCATAAAGTTTTACTGGAACACAGCCTCATTCACTGGTTTATAAATTATCTATGTCTGTTTTCATACTACAACTGTTCAGCTGAACAGCTTCAACAGAGCCCATATGGCTCTAAAGCTTCCAGTATTTACTATCTGACCTGTTGCAAAAATGTTTACTGGCATCTGCTCTGTGGAATTCAGAATGCTGTCTCAATCAATGCTACTTGCATCAAACAGATGTGGCCTTGAGTTAAGAAAAGTTCTGCAACCTCTTCACAAGGAAGGAGAGCCATTATTTAGTCTTATTAAAAAGCACCTCCAAAACCCTCCCAATAGCCTACAGAAAATAGTGGAAAGGAAAAAATTCAGATTCTACTTCTGAATTAAGTCAAAGCAGTATAATCATGTAGGAGAGTTGTGACATTTCTTGGTGCGATAACAAGCTCATTTGTTTAAAATCTTATCCTGGTATCCAGGAGAAAAACTGTAAGCCAGAAACTAAATGATTTCCCCAATAGGACAAAATACAAATCTAAAAAACTAATATCTAAACTCGGGCAAATTCAGAATAGAAAGGATAGAAACTCAAAGTTCCATTACAAAGAAGAGAACTGTTCTGACCTAATCACAAGGCTTTCTCAGTGTACCTGGATCTCCAGCGCACCAACCCTATGGAGAATGACACCCCCAGGGAACTCAAAGGAACTGCCAGAGACACTGCACTGTGCACCACGGCTCTGCGGATTCTTCCCGTTCCCACTAAGAGCAACTGGCTCTCCCTTAACACTTACATTTTACAGAAATGAAAGATCTGAGCACACTCAAGTTCACTGTTTCATTCCAGCAGTACGTATAGTTGAGGGCTGACTCATGCCTTGGATATTTGAACAGGCATTTACCAATAACACTGAGGACCGATTAAAAACAGACAATACACACAGCATACCATTTTGTCATCCTAGTGTCACCAGAAAGGAGTGACTAAGTAGTCTGTTTCACTTTATTCATGATCTAATTATCTAAAACAGTGCGGCCATTTAAAGTATTAACCACATAATTACTAATCATAAAAGTCTGGGTTTTCTCCCATGGCTTAAGAAGTCCCAACTAGTCATCTGATGCTGTAGTTTTTCTTGCTAGCAAAGTTATTTTAGAGCAAATCAAGGATTTCTAGAAACAACACATTTCAGAGCAACAGTGGAAAAAACCTATAGGGACTCACCACATTAGCTACTTCAACATGAAAAGCTTAGTCCCAAAATAATTTTAAAAATCACAAACAACATTTCAAGTAGAGATTTCAAAAAACTGGAATGCCAGAAAACAATTCTAATTACATATAATTCCTCCCTGAAGTTTTGTCAATAATGTAAAATGCTTAAGGGACACAAGCTTCTTCGTAAATATCTGAAATGATAAATCTGTTTTTAAATGTATAAAATTCAAAGGATTCAGATTGTCTGTAAGACATAAAAAAATCAAAACAATGTATCAGTAACAATGAATGCCTAAATCTAACAATGACATTCTTCTACCTAACTACAATAGCTTTGTATTTTCAAACAGAGCACTGTTATGATATGAGCAAGAGCCAAGCAGAGTGGGCTGAGTAATACCAACTCAGTGTGCTGTGTTTTTCTTTTGCTACACATGGGATACCGCATAGCATATCTTGGTGTGAAGTTAGAAACTAACATTGGGAATCTAGACATGAGGTCATAACTTTTATTTATTCTTCATATCCTTAGTTGCAGCATTATATTACATATATCCTCCCCTGCATCTCAAGAATAGCATTTGTGGGGGCTGGCGCCATGGCTCACTTGGTTAATTCTCCGCCTGCGGCATCAGCATCCCATATGGGCGCCGGGTTCTAGTCCTGGTCTCTCCTCTTCCAGTCCAGCTCTCTACTGTGGCCAGGGAGGGCAGTGGAGGTTGGCCCAAGTGCTTGGGTCCCTGCACCCATATGGGAGACCAGGAGGAAGCACCTGGCTCCTGGCTTCGGATCGGCGCAAAGCGCTGGCCGTAGCGGCCATTTAGGGGGTGAACCAATGGAAGGAAGAGCTTTCTCTCTGTCTCTCTCTCTCTCATGTCTAACTCTGCGTGTCAAAAAAAATATATATATCATTTGCAAAAATGGACTGAGTCACCCTAAAACCAGGAACTCTTGAGGGGAAGGGTTTGGGGAGAGGCAGCAACCTGGCAGACTCAGAAATGAGTGAATCTGAATTTTTTTGAAATAGGCTACTTCTGAAATGAAACAAATGAGTAAATACATACCCTTGAGGAGAAAGCTTATCCAGCCACCCTGACTTGACCTTCTTCGCAGACGTACCATAAAAACAGGCATAGGGAGATATGGCATTTGAGGAAATGCCCGAGGAATCAGCATTTCCACTTGTTGAGCTTAGGGGGTAACTGTGCCTGTTTACTGGGTCCAAGCTCAGTGCTTTCTGTGTCCTCAACCTTGATGCCTTTGAATTTTTTCTTCTTAAACTCTGGAAGCATTCTTCCACGGTTGAGTATTCTGACTCAGAGGCAGACTCTATCATAAGATTGTTTTTATCCTCTCGAGGTATCCAAATGTCTTCTACTTTTTCTTCACTTATTTTCTCCTTCCTGTTATCATATATGCTAAATGAAAGGGAATGGAATTAACATTTTAAAGTTCCAAATGTGATTTAAATAATCAGCCATTTTTTTATTAATTAAAAATAATCACAGAAATTTAAAGCCAGGAGAATCTTAGGAGTCAAATAAACCATCTGATAATTTTAAACTCTTCCAGAAAAATTAAATATAAATCTTTTATTATCCTATGACATATCTGAACAGTACTATGAGTTTTTCTAATGTAGAATTTAATCTGTTCCCTTTTGTTTTGGGTGTTGGGAACAGGTGGTAAGGATGGAGACTGACCATATTACTATCATCAAAAATTAAACATCTTCAACAGCACAATCAAGTAGCCAGTTTAACCATTACTGTCTAGGCAACACTATGAATCACTATCTCATCTGTTTGGAGATCTTATTTTCAACTTGTTGCCCACTGTCTATGTTCCTCTAACTGACTCCATAAATTCCATGTTCTACCATAACGTAATAAAACAGAGAGTATGATTGCTGAGATTTTCAAAATTATTTTGCAATGCTAATGAAGAAAAACACTGCACCACACTACCAGCCAGAAAACAGGAAAGGGTCAGTGTATACTCAGAATGTAAAATCTGCATAATACACAATATTTACTAGAATGCATTCATATTAGCTAAGCACATCCCTGCAGATTTAAGGTTACGACACAATGGATTCAGTCACTGATAAATAAAATAAAACTCATTATTAGGAAGTTTTGGAAAATCAGACATGCTTAAAGGAAAAATTACATCCTCCTGGATATAATATTCTAAAAAATCAGTACTTCTCAAGAAGTAGCCTGGTCTTTCCATGTTTTGCATTATCGATTCATAAATGCTTTCTGAGGTTATTAAATTATTAAGTGGATTTGTTGTTGTTGTTATTATTTGAGAGGCAAAGAGACTCTGAGAGACAGAGACATCCCATCTGCTGGTTAATGCCCTAAATGTGCAATGATTGCTGCTGGGACAGACTGCTGCTAGGAGCCAGGAACTCAACTGATGTCTCGCACATGCGTGGCAGGGACCCAACTACTTGAGCCTCCAGAGTCTGTATTAGTAGGAAACTGGAATCAGGAGCCAGGGCCACAGCTGGGACTTGAACCCAAGTATTCTGATATAGAATGCAAGCATTTTAACTAAGCCAAACATCCTTTCCAATTATATAATCTTAATTTAAGGAAATCTGCATCAGTATTAACCTTATAAAATAAAAGATAATTTAAAATTAAAATAAATGCCAAGTAATGATCCAATATAACAAGCTCCCCAAAAAAATTTAAAGAAAAATACTATTTAAATTGATAACTACAACTTGTTTAACTTCATGTGTGACTGACATAACCAGAAGGTCATCAAGGATCCTATAAAGGCTGACCTGCTAACAAAAAGCATACATTATATTTGCAAAATTCTGCAATTCCCATAGTGATATTCTGCACTCTGCCTTTCTCCTTTATATTAACATAACTTCTTGTCTTTAAGAAAGACACAATTATGGTAACCACATATTTGCCACTCTGAGGAGGGGGTCGTTCATTTCAAACCTACCATGTAGAGAACTGTCACTATCTACCATAATTCAATCCTTAAAATGGATGCTGATGTGGAAGCATACAAACTTTACCAGTGTTTTCTTAGAAATAGTCTTATACTAGGAGCAAGAAGTCAAATTTTTAACATTTTATTCTAAACAATTAATCATAATCAACCATGACTTCATACCTTGATTTGATGCAGAAAGAGTTCCCTGCAGTATTTGCCTCCCCTTTGAGTGTTTCTTCATGGGCCCAAAATTCATTCTTCACACATCTCTTCTAATACAAGAAAAAAAAAAAAACACATATATACACACACACAAAAACATTTAAAATTTTATTTTTAGTTTTGAGATTTTTTTTTTAGTCTGGTAACATTCTGCAAAGAACCACAATGCCTGCATTTAGTTTTATTAAACAAATATTTAATTGCTTAGATGAACTTTCAATCTGAACAATTTAATTAGGGAGACTATAAAATAGTAGCATTGTGATACTTTTTAAAATATTTTATTAAAACATTAATAGCTCATAATTTCAACTAAGAGGGGGAAAAAAAGAAGTTAACCAACAATAAAATTCATGGACTTCTCCCCAGCATTATTTTTGTCGTCCAGCTTCCCTTTCATCCAGACAAAGAAATAAACTAGCAAAAGGGCAACAGTGATGAAGTGAAAAGTCTTACTGAACAATTGAAGTCAAAATATATTAATCATTAGAAGTATATTCACACTTAGGAAGTCTACATTTAGATTTAAGGTAAAGCAAAATCTAGAGGAGGGGAATTATGTCTTAAAGGGAGGTTGTTGTTTTTTTTTAATTGAAGTAGCTTCTTTACAACAAATTTTTAAGTCACAAATCAAAATGTGCTTTCATGATATATATTTAAAGATATGGATCTACCATCATTTTATTGAGCAGAAATTTTACTAACTGGAAATCTGATTTTTCTGCATAACACATTCTTCACACTTACAGGAGAATGGAGAGGTATTTGCATGCAGAAGAGTAAAAGACCGATTATGGAAAAATATAGAAGATATGGAACTAACCTTGGAATTTTCCAGTCTCTGGAAGAGGAAGGTCTCTCCATAAGGAAAGATGGAAGATGAAATCTCCTCACTTGAATCTTCTGAAGGAATTATAAGAATAGAAAGATGTGAATAATGTGACATATTTTATATTAAAATTTAAAAACCTTGGGTTTATTTGATAATGATATTACAATTTAATCATTCTATAAGAATCCAAAATTATTCTAATTCTTAATCCCAAATCAACTTTCCAGTGGTCTTCTAGATACAGTACTCACTGTACATATCTCTGACTTAACAAGCATGGCATATGACTGTTTATTAAATTGTAACTGGTCAAAAAAAAAAATTGTAACTGGTCAAATGTTTCCTTGCTAATCTTGAAAATCCGCATTAACTTAACCAGGTGCATACAATGGAAACTGTAATGGTGTCATTCATAATGCCAATTTCTAAATAAGAATACTCTAAATGTCAGCAAATTAATTTTAGCTCTTATAATTTTCAACTGACAACTTTAAGAAGTCTGCCGATATGACAGCTTGCCAGTCACTCAAACTCCCCGAAACCACTGAAGGAAATTCCTCTATTACCAGGCCTACAACCACACCTACAAATAATTTCAAAAGAACTTCCACCATCCTTGAATTACACTGATTTACATGAAATCATTCTCAAAACTTGCATCTCTGCTATGGCAAACTGAGTTTAAGGGTTCAGTAGCCAGGCATTTGCCAGCATATAGTGAAGAAGAAAGTTCCTAAAGTTGTATAAGCTAAAGTTTTCAAAATGAATGAAAAGCCTCTATGTATGATCAATCTACAAAACCATCATCAGCCTGTGCCTGTTACCATGGCAAAATCACTTTCCATATTTCTTAGTTCTATAGCTCAGACTGTCAGAAAACATTTAATTTAGTTAAATGCCTTCGACTGTAGCCAATGATAAATGAAGCCAGATTTTCACATAAGCAAAAGTCTGAGTGTCTTTTATTCACTCACCTTTAAAAGAGTTTGCTGAAGTACAATGAATGCTAGTACATAGGCATTCCCATTACTCCCTACGACAACTAGCAAATGAGTGCTAACTAATTTACAGAAACTTTAAACACACAGACTCACTTTGCCATGCCGCAGATTTTCCAGGTGAGGTAGCAACATTTCTTCTCTCACGGAAATAGCTAAAAGCAAAGGGGAAAACAGTGAAGAGTTACCACATGTAACAAAAGGTTTTCTATACAAACATACTTCTGGGGTGGGGTACAAAAATAAATATGCCACGATGAGTCTGATTTCAAATACAGATACAACGGCCAAATTCTACAGATGTGCTCTTTCTAAAAAGCCTGAAATGAAGAGATTTCTTTGGATTTACAAATGTTTGCATCTCACATCTATAATTCGGATAAGTAAATTAGTCAAAAGCTATTCTGCACATAATTTCAAGACTGTTAACCATTTTAATTTTTGTTATTTTTGCTTTTTTTGTCATTAGCTTCATTAAACAAAATAAAAAATGTGTTTGACTGTATAAACACAATATAAAAGTACATAGAAGACCTTCTTTCAGAGACCCCACAGTCCTGGGAGAGAGAGAGCACAGGTTATTAATTAAAATGCAGCAAGGTAACAGCAATGAGAGGTAAACACTGTAGTCACAAAGGGTAATAAAGTTCTACTATCATAGAAAGAGTTCTATTTCTCCTTCTGAAGATAACTTCTCTTACATATATATATATCTTTCCAAGTAACTAAAATCAAGGAAATAATAAAGAACAAAAATCAATAAAAAAGAACATAGACAAAATTTCAAAAAAATATTACAACCCAAACCTCTTTTTTTGGAAAAAAATCACTAAAACTGACAAAGCCCAACAAAGGAAAATAAGAGAGAGGCAGCAGACAAAAATTAGCAATATCACAAATGAAGAATATTAAAAGATAATTATAGGGGCCGGCGCTGTGGCGCAGCGGGTTAATGACCTGGCCTGAAGCACCAGCATCCCATATGGGCGCTGCTTCACTTCCAATAAAGCTCTCTGCTATGGCCTGGGAAAGCAGTAGAGGATGGCCCAAGTCCTCGGGCCCCTGCACCCATGTGGGAGACCTGAAGGAAGCTCCTGGCTTCTGGCTTCTGATCAGCACAGCTCCGGCCATTATGGCATATTGGGGAGTGAACCAGCAGATGGAAGACCTTTCTCTCTCTGCCTCTCCTCTCTCTGTGTAACTCCAACTTTCAAATAAATAAATAAATCTTAAAAAAAAAGATAATTACAGATTAAGAAAAACTTTATGTCAATAAATTTAACAATTTAGAGGAAACAAATTCCTTGAGACACAAATGACCATATAATGTCAAATAATAAATTTTTAAAAATTTGTAATGAAAGTTAATAATAAAAATTATTTTTAAAAATACCATTTGCAAGGAGAGCTAAAAGAGTACATGTGCTTTGATAAACTGCTAGGCAGCTGCTTTTAAACAATCACCTAAATTAACAGCAAACATACCCCTAGGAAGATACTGAATGGACATGCATACAGAGATGTTACATGAATAAACACCCAAATGCATGCCTACAGGCAAATGGATAAAGAAACATTATTCATCAATATAAAGAACAAACTGACATGAATGTGTCAAAACATGCTGAGGGGTAGGTTTTTGGCACAACTGTTAAGATAACACTTGTGACACTGACATCCCAAGTCAGGGTGCCTGGGTTCAAAAGACTCAGCTCCACTTCTGATTCCAGGATCCTGCTAATACACACCTTGGAAGGCTGCAAGTGATAACCCAAATACTTGGGTCCCTACCACCTACAAGGGAAACTCAGATTTAGTTCCTGGCTCTTGGCTTCATCCTAGCCCAGTGCAAGTTTTGAAGGCATTTGGGGAATAAGCCAGTGGATGGATGACTTTCTCTCTCTCTCTCTCTCTCTCTCTCTCTCTCCCTCTCTCCATTTCAAATAAATTAAGATTAATAAATTAATTTCCTTAAAAGATCATGGGGAATACAGAAGCAAGATAAAAAACAATGCCTACTCAATGATTCCATTTATATGACATTTTACAGTGAATAAAACTGCGACTTTTTTACCACAAGAGGAATGGCTGCCAGATGCAGCAGAGGAACTTACTGCAAGTGTTACAAGACAACTTGGGAGTGCAGATGGGGAGAGCACTAAGAGGGTTCGATACCCTGATTGCTGTAGTGATCATACGGGTGAACACACACTTGAGGGCTGACATGTTTCAGATTCCAGAATTTCTTGGGTTCTGGGAGATTTATGTGTGCTTTACTGGCTGAGTACTCCTAATCAGAAAATCAAAACCTGAGACCCCAGCAGCTGAAACTCTTGGAGCATTAGGTGGATGAACAAAAAGTTTGAGATTTTGAAGCATCTCCAATTTTAGGACTTCGGCTTAGGGATGCTCAACCTATTTATGTTTGTTAAAATTCATCAACTTATACTTTAAATGAGTCTATGTTATTGCATGTCAATTCTATCTAAAGTTAACCATATACATTACATATGTACACACATATCTATAAGCACATATATACATGTGTGTATATATAAATATGAAGAATATTGAACAATGTTGAAAACATGAAACATTTACCAATAGTAAACAGAGGAAAGTTAAATGGCCAACAGACACATAAAGAAATGCTCGGGATCAGTAGCCATCAGGGAAATTCAAATCAAAACCACAATGAGGTTTCATCTCAACCCAGTTAGAACAGCTCTCATACAGAAATCAACAAACAAATGCAGGCAAGGATGTGGGGAAAAAGGTACCCTAATCCACTGTTGGTGAGAATGTAAACTGGTACAGCCACTGTGGAAGACAGTATGGAGATATCTCATAAATGTGAATATAGACCTAACATTTGACCCAGCAATCCCACTCCTGGGAATTTACTCAAAGAAAAAGAAAAAGAAATCTTAAAGAGTTGCCTGTTCCCCCATGTTTATAGCAGCTCAATCCACAATAATTAAGATATGGAATCAAACCAGATGTCCACAGCTGATGACTGGATAAAGAAATTATGGCATATATACCCCATGGAGTACTATTTAGCTGTACAAAAAAAAATTAGTTTTCTTTTGCACCAAAATGGATGCAACTGGAAACAATTATACTTAGTGAAATAAGCCAGTCCCAAGAAGACAGATATCACTTGCTTTCCCTGATCTAAGGTAACTAACAGTGTACCTAAAATGCAATGTACTGAAGTGAAATGGACATTTTGAGATTCAATGACTGTTTACAGCCCTTATCTCTACTGTTGAGGAACAATGTTTTTTCTTCATACTATTTGCTGAACTTTTCACTTAGTGTATACAGTAAACCTTATGAGTATAAAGTATACTGAAATAGATCTTGTCAAAAATTAAGAGTTGGAATAGGAGAGGGAGGAGGAAGAAGGGTTGCAGCATGTGTGGGAGGGAGGGTAGGGTGGAACAGGAAGTACCACTATGTTCCTAAATCTGTCTATATGAAATACATGAAACTTGTATACCTTAAATAAATTTTTAAAACACTAGTGTTATTATAAAATACATATATTTGCTGATTAGTTAAAAAATACATAAAATGTGCTTCTGAAAAAAAAGAATGCATGGCAGGGTATATTCATACAAGGAAATGCTATAATTGCAAGCACCAACATATATGGGACTCAGTATGCAAAACGACCTGGACTAGAATACACATTACATGACTGCATTTTTTTTTTTTTGACAGGCAGAGTGGACAGTGAGAGAGACAGAGAGAAACGTCTTCCATCCATTGGTTCACCCCTCAAATGGCCACTACAGCTGGCGTGCTGCAGCCAGCGCTGCGTGGATCTGAAGCCAGGAGCCAGGTGCTTCCTCCTGGTCTCCCAGGGGGTGCAGGGCCCAAGCACTTGGGCCATCCTCCACTGCGTTCCTGGGCCACAGCAGAGAGCTGGACTAGAAGAGGAGCAACCGAGACAGAATCCAGTGCCCGAACCGGGACTAGAACCCAGGGTGCCGGCGCCACAGGAGGAGGATTAGCCTAGTGAGCCGCGGCACCAGCCATGACTGCATTTTTTTAATTTCACAAACAAGGCTGACATTGTGGAGTAGTATGTTGAGCTACCACGTGCAATGCTGGGATACCAGTTCAAGTCCCAGCTGTTCCACTTCCAATCCAGTGGATGGAAGGATGGAAGACCTCTTTCTTTCTCTCTTCCAAATAAGCATTTACTAAATTAAAAATTTACTTAAAAAAAAAAAAGTGGGGCCAGTATTGCGGCATAGCTGGTAATGCTACCACCTGCAATGCTGGCATCCCAACTGCTCTTCTTCTGATCCAGCTGCCTGCTAATAAACATGAGAAAAGCAGTGGAAGATGGCCTAAGTATTTGGGCACCTGCCACACAATGGGAGAGCTGGATGAAGCTCCTGGCTCCTGGATTTGGATTGGACTGGCCCAGCCCTGGCTAATGCCACCATCTGGGAGAGTAAACCAGCAGATAAAAGATCTCTTTCAAATAAATAACTCTTTCAAAGAAATAAACAAATCTCAAAACAATAATTCACAAACAGGCTATAATGTTCAGGAAATACTTTAGAGCTAAAATTTTATTTAAAATCAAGGAAGTGACTATCAGGATAAGACACTGTCATTTGCTGGGGAGAAACAGAGAATTTTACCAAAGGATTAGAAAATAATTCACCCTTTATTTGTTCATAATCTCCAGATTCCTGACATGTTAAATGTCTCCAGTTGTTTCCTCATATTTACATATTATTAGAACAAGTACCCAATAATCACTTGAACCTCTGAGTGGAGCATTACTCAAATTTTATACATCTTTGGCAATTTAAGCTAACAATATTGCTAATTTTTTTTAAAAGATTTATTTATTTATTTATTTGAAAGTCAGAGTTTCACAGAGAGAGGAGAGGCAGAGAGAAAGAGAGATCTTCCATCCGATGGTTCACTCTCCGGATGGCCTCAACAGCCAGTGCTGCACCGATCTGAAGCCAGAAGCCAGGAGCTTCTTCCAGGTCTCCCACATGGGTGCAAGGGCCCAAGGACTTGGGCCATCCTCTACTGCTTTCCCAGGCCATAGCAGAGAGCTGAATAGGAAGAGGAGCAGCCAGGACTAGAACTGGCGTCCATAGGGGATGCTGGCGCTTCA